GTTAATACATCCTTTTTTCTCTGTACCTAGATTTTTTGCAGGGTGGTATTCTTTGCACGATATTATTGGTTCTGCATTTCTCATAAAATATAATGCAGCAATTTCCTATCAGTATTAAGAACTCCTTGTAGGAATAATTTTTAATGTTTTCTCATGAATCCACAGCAGATGTTTGCTGTACCCTTAACCGTTTCCCTTTGTTCTCTCCCTGCTGCCAACTCTCTTTCTAAAATTTATTTGAATATTTTTGCTTCCCTGTGATCTCGACCCGCTTTTTAGACAATTCCCTTAGGATGGATTCCTGGATGTAAACCCCAGCTCGATTGTAGGGTTCCTGTTACACACTGTTGCACTGATTTCTACAAGTTTATGGCAATTGATTCTTTTACCTGGCAACATGGGAGTATGTTACCAGCAATGGGTACTATAATTTAATAAAAGTATTAATTCAAAAATAAAAGTCAGCAGCGTATGCTTTGTTTATTTCCTTACCCTCTGCCCATTTCTACATCAAGCCCATCAAAGTCTGTCCGGATCTTGAACTGGGCATAACATGATGTGGTCAGGTGGCAGGCTAGGATCCCAGCATCTCACCTTATCAGCTATAAGACCATGGGTAAGTGATGTGACCTCTCTGTACCTCAGTTTCCTCTTCTATAAAATGGGGGTGACAACAGATTTATAGGGTCGCCATGTGAACTAGATGGGTCAGTGCAGGCTTGGCAGATACACCCTCATTGGCTATAAATAAGGAAAGGGCCTTTGGGTTAGTCATTGCAAATACTGTTTGATCTCAGATGTTTATTGCTGAGTTGCTTTATGAACATTTCTTGAGATCAAGGATATTTTAGTAACTCAAGGAAAAAAAAAAATCTTAGGTTTCCATATGGGAAACCTGTGGGAAAAACCATTGATCCTACCACCAGATTAGTGCAGTTCTGCTTCTAGTTGGGACTCAGAGATGTAGGTTAGCATGACAAATGAACCTCATTCAGGCTAGTGGGACATCATCTTGCCTGCTACAGGACTCTGTGGCTTTACCCTGGCTTTCTAAAAGCACAGCTGCTCTGACTTCCACCCTCCAGCTCTGAGCAAGCCAGCAGGGGCTGGCAATCAGGTTTCCACATGGCTCACAGGCCTCAGGTGATTCTGATCCCCAGCTGGGTCCCAGGAAACGAGGCCCAGGCAACCCTGAAGGACTTGCAAGTGACACAACATGCCAGGTCTCCTGAGTGACTCCACACACAGCCCCCACGCATAAATGTTCACACCTTATCCATGACTTTGCTTAACTTTTGGGACTGACCTCTGACCTCTTTTTCTAGGTCTTCTGGGAGTAGGGAGATCTGATCAAGATAATCTCAAAGCCTCCCTACTCCCTACTGCCAGAAAACTGTCCAAAGCTGATTCAACCTGGAAACTTTGGTGTCTTCAACTCCTATTATCGTGAAATACGCTGTGGGAGGAACTTCCTGCTGTGGACAGACAAGCTCACCCTGAACCCTCCCATAGCCTCTGGAAACTCTCTGGCCATTTGTTTCCAGGCTGTTTGACATTTCCACCAGGAAGGCTCAGTGACACAGCCTAGGGGATTCCAGCAATGAGCTGATCTGAAGATGGTAAATATGATTAGGTCTCCACATCCACGGGGTCTGTTTCTACCCATTCTACCAAATGTGGGTGGCAATTTTTTTTTTTTTTTTGGTCTTTTTCGTTTTTACCGGTACCAGGGATCGAACTCACGACTGCCTGCTTGCAAGGCAGGCGCTTATGCCGCTGAGCTAATTTCCCAGTCCCCGGCAAATATTTTTTTAAATTTGCCTTTGCATTAAGCATGTGCAGAATTTTTTTCCTTGTCATTATTCCTTAAATATAGTATCACAACTACTTACAAAGCACTTACACTGTATAAGGTATGTGAAGTAATCTAGAAATGATTTAAATGGTACACAAATATATGCGGGTAATACAAATATTAAACTGTTTTATATGAGGGATTTGAGCAATCTCAGACTTTGGTTCCATTGGGGGTCCCAGAGCCAGCCCCCTGTGCATGCTCATGGAAGACAGTACACCAATCTGCAGAGCAAATGTCCTTATCACAGGGACACACTCATCCTCTCTGCCCACCTCGGAGATGTTTCATGACAACTGAACTCACACTCTGACACCTCTCTGTCTCAATGTAATTCCTACATTGAAAACAGCCATTTACAGGGAACTTTACTCAAAGTTTTGATTTTGGTGGGAGCGGGGAAGGTAGTCAACAAAGAAGCAACAACTACAACAAAACAAATTTCCCAAATGCTTCAGCCGGGGTGGGGGAAGAAAGAAGGAAATTCTAGAAAGCGAATACCCAGGAAGATCACGCACCCCAGGAAACCCTTCACTGTGGGATGTGACTTGGAGCAGGATGGCAATGTCAGGGTGCTCTGACAAAGTTAAAGATGGAAAAATGAAGTAATGCGGAAGGGTTGAAAAGCCAGCATTCACTTCAAAAGTGGCCCGTTGGTCCAAAGGTGCAAACCACAGCATGCATTTTTAGAGAAAAAATAAAATGTCTGACATACTTTTGAAATTCTTTCAAACAGAGCAAAAAGAACCCTTGCCTGGGGGGATGGGGGAAATGAAGGATGCATGCTGGCCCTTTGGGTAGCTTTTCCCATGGAGACCACAGCCTCCCAGGGAGCTCAGGAAACCCCAGACTCATGCCCACATGGACAGCGGATGTGGTAAGCAAGAGTCTATTTAAAACAATCCCTCCAAGGTCAGCTTTTCATAGAGAATGCAGAAAAATTGTGGGAAGAAATAAATCTCTCTAAGGCAATAAATTATTTTAATATTCCAGCAGTGAAATCCAGTAGCTAGGAAAATAACTCAATGGGGATTTTCAGTCTTCAATCTAACTAAGCACCTACTGCGGGTGTTCAGAGTCCCATCAAGCTAGGTTGGGGAATGAACTGGGAGGAGCCTGGCCTTCCACTCTATCGCTGTCAGTGTACAACCTGAAGCAGGCGGCCTGCTGGGACATGTTTGTGGAAAGCTCAACTCTCCCCTGGGTCACATGTGACATCTTAACCCTGCCACAGACCTCAGGTATCTCTAGCAGTGTTCCTAGAATCCTGAAATCCAGAGGTTCCCCAGAATTGAAAGCCTGCTCTAAAATGGCAAATACATTTGCATATCAGAGGTTAAAATCAATGTCAAAGGAGGTTTGATAAGCGAAGGCCAGCAACTCCTGATGCTTCAAATGCTTGTGAGGCTTTAGTGGGACAGGACGGGGTGTCCCCTCTTTGGTCAGTCTAGGTGCGCGCAGCAACACCTGCTCAGCCAGTAGTGTACCAGCGGCACGCACGCCTCCCAGGCCAAGTTCCTTGACGGACCGGCTTATCCAGGAAACAATCCAATGAGCTGAACAAGGCATCTGCTTGAGCATCTGCAGCCCTCATTTATTATTAAAAGCCAAGAACAGCACCACTGTGTCAGTCCACCGGGGCCCTTTCTCTGCCACCCCCACACACTCAGAGACCCCAGGCTTGCCTCCCCACCCAAGGCCACACCCCCTTGGTCTCTGTCTCCTTCTTTCTCTCACACACAGGAAGGGGATTTACATCACAACTGCATCCTACAGATGATGATTCAACCTAGTCTCTGCATTTTTATGAGGGTTACAAACCGAATTAACCCACGGAGCTGCAGTGGGCTCCCGGCTCCACCATTCTGGAGGTGCATCTGACAGTTTCAACACACAAGAACCAGAATTAGCTCGATTCTCACCCAAATCGGGCTCTGATTGGTCAAGGCTAATTTAAATCTGTCTTTTCAGGAAATGATATGAGAGCAACATGAGACACTTGGAATAAGTTAGCACACCTTCTCCCCCCCTACCTGGCTTTCTCTTCCCCGATACGATCTTCCCTCTGGGTTCCCATTCCCTCTTAAGAGACTTGTGATCATTAGCAAAGTCACAACCCGAAAGTTTAGACACATGAGAAAATGACTTCAAGTGGCCATCCCACTGGGGCCAGAACATGATCTCTTCCTTCGTAGAGTGCATGCGTGTCCATCTAGCTAGACCTCCTCTCCATTCCTTCTACCTGTGCATGGATTTCTGACACACAGGAAGCAGGGCTCAGGTTAGCACTGAGGAAACACTGTCCCAGAAATGTGAACTCCCAATGAGGACTATTCTACCAGAGCTTTTAGAAAGAATTTTTTGCCAACCATATCCTCTCAGCTTTCATATTTCCAAAGAGCAACACTTTCCTTTGGACCAAGATATTAAATCCCCAGAGGGGCAACATTCACATGTGCTGGGAATTCAGGCACCTTCTACATTCCAAATTCAATTACATGTGAAGCTCGTGGGTCACAGACACCAACATCCAATGGATTCTTTAAATGCAGACGAAGTTCCTTCCTTCCAGGTGCTACCAAAAGCTTTCAATCACCTGCATACCAAAGCTGTTTTTGTGCAGTCTACTCCACCTACCCACTTTGGCCCATGTCACTTGGTCTTTGAAGACTATCACCCATCCAATGACTGCAAATCCACCAACTCTGAGCCACCAGTCACAGACCTGGTGTCAGTAAATGATACATTGGGCTTTCTGGCTAGCCCTTAGGACCTAGCAGTGGGCGATGATTCCTCTTGGTGGCTATTTATAGAGTCACAACTAAACCACCCACAGATCCACACATGTCTTCAACATCATGGCAACCACATCTCTTTTTTCTACCTTCTACTTCAAGACCAATGGCCAAGTTCCACATACACTTCCTCCTTCCAGAGAAGTAGAGCCAAAGCCTCAGAGTCAATTCAAACACCAGACCATAGGAAGTAGCATCCACAGGGTGCAGAGTCATGCAGCACAACTCTACGGTCGCCCCCATGAGCATTCTAGCTCACTCACTGTAGTTGTGCCACCATGACCGTGACCCCTTCCCAGGTGAGAGTCGGCGCTCTCCCCAAGTGAGTGACACAAACACTGCATCCCTACCTCAATCAAGAAGTCCCCGGTCCTCAGTCCAGCTTGCCATGCCACCCCGCCTTCATCCACAGATTCCAGGTACTGTAGGGCTGGGAATGCCGGCGTTGGAGTGAATTCTTCAATGGGGGTGTCAGCTGGGAAGATAAAGAGCACCTCATCAGAAGCCTCATAGATGTTTTCCAAGTTAGCTGTCCTGCCTCCCCTGGGCTGCCCTGGGAAGAGGTGGATCCCTGTGTCTCCTGCTGGAAGAGATTGTCCATGCCAACTCTCCTCAGGGAAGGACTTGAGAATCACATTTCTGGTCACTGCTAACTCAAACCACGAAGCCACCTGCATGTTGGTGTTACCATCATGCTTCTGGGCCTTTTCACTGAAACCACAGAACAACGTGCTCTGCAGTACATGTCTACACGCCTGTCATTTTCTTTAAAAGCATCAGTGACTAAACATTTTCAGTTCTAAAAATGGAAAAGTTCCTCCTATACCACACAGAGCTAGAGAAATGCCATACTGAACCACTTGCCAATTTTAAATTTACGTAGACTGGGACCAAGGGGGATTCAACTTGAAACACAGATGCAACAGAATGCTGACCCAGTTGGGTGGCCATCGATTTGGAATCTGCCCATGACTCCTTTGCACTGGGAGCCTGGCTGGCTGTGACCACCTTGGAACCAGCATGCATGGCAAGGCTGGACCTCAGTGGAGCAAGGCTTGGCTTCTGGAGCCCACATGGCTGTCAAGCACAACTCCAGGGCAAGAGGATAACCTTCTTGGTAGTCATGAAAGGCCAGGGGTGAGCTGTGAATATGGAGATGCCTGGTAGTGGGAGGAAGAGGACATCACACAGATGGGCCTGGACTTGTACAGGGAACAGAGGGACAGACTCGGCTTCTCTCTGCACAGATCATCGTGGAGCTGCCTGGGCTGAAGGCAGATGGGCCCACCAGCCAGGAAGGAAGCTCTCTCTACACAGGTGCAGAACTCTACCGCAGCACAGAGGCTCCAGGATGAAACTTCCACATGGCTGACCCCCACACATGCAGTGGGCAGTTGTCTCCTCTCACGAGGGGTGATGCCATTCTGTCTTATTTGGAAGGGAGGCCCTCACATAAAGGGCATGTGGTGGGTACACTGCCATGGACCGCATCGCAGAGCCTCCCACCATAGGCCATGGGATGTATGTGATGCCAGCTCAGTCCCTCTGTGGCAGAGGGGACCATCTTGCCACCTTTCCATTGCAAAGTCACCTTAGAGGCAGGCACACGGGTGCCGCTACCCTTGGAGCTGAAGCCCACTTCCAAGGCAGGCAGTTTCCCGGCACCTGAAACTCAGGGCTGCTGATTCTGTGCATCTGAAACGAGGAGCTCTGAAGGCAGCCACAGTGTGGCTTAACTAAAGCATGAAACTGATTACCCCCATGATTAAAGCAAGGTGGGGGGGAGCGTGTTCCGACCAATGCCGTGTATAGCAAATTAAAAATATGCCTAAAGTAAGCCCTGATGTTTTCTGAGGCAGGCAGAACAGTAAAGAGCACTGTTGTCTAGCAACCGAGTGCCCTTAGGAAAATGCTTATTTAATGCTTATTTCCAAGCAGGGGGAATGTTCCTCATACAGGAGTGTACACACACACACACACACACACACACACACACACACACACGACATGTGAACGCACCCAGGCTCTTACCTTTTGCCCCTCGGAGCACAAACCCGAAGCCCTCATTGTCCTTCTTCTGTAGGACCACTGTCTTCTCCTCGATGATGCAGTCACTGTAGAGAGAATTCCGGGGATAGCGACCATTATTGTAACCCGTCATCATCACGGTGGCTGCTCCTCCGCCGGGGACGTTCATCATCATAGCCAATTAATCACCCAGCTCCCGGATCGGATCCCGGCAGCATGGAGGAGCCTGGGCGGCAGCGAGGTGCAGGCGGAGCTGGGGGGGCTAACGGGATAGGCGAGCGGGGCACAATGGGATGTGGAAGGGGGGGGCGGGCGGCGCAGGAGCCAGCCGGGGGAAGGAGGCAGGCATGCTGGAGAGGCTGCCGGGCTGCTGAGCGGCAGCTCAAGGCACCCGGGGGCCGGCCAGGACGCCGCCGCTGAGAGCAAAGAAAGTAAGTGGCCCGGGTGGTGGCGGCGGCGGTGGCAGCAGCAGCGTCGTGAATGAGCTCCCCCCGCCTGCCTCGGCCAGATGCATCTTCCAGGGAAGCGGAATGAAATCAGCCTGAGGAGAAATGAGGCAGCAGTTTTGTTTGGCTTTTTCTTGAAGGGGCTTAAAAAGAAAATCAGATTCTATGTGCTCAGGCAGCGCGTGAGCCAGTGGCAGGCGCGGGTGACACAGGGACCTGGGCGCTGCATCCCGCGCTCCCTCCTCTAGTCCTTGGGAAGGTGGTGTGCGGCAGGCAGGAGCCCCCACAGTCATCTGATGAGCCCACAGCGCGACCGCGGTAGCTGCCTGAGCGTCATCCCGCGCAGAGAATCCGCAGGCTGGGCTGGCGGCAGGCAGGGCGGGGGAGCGGCCAGCGTGGTGCCTCCCATGGCCACAGCTAGGGACTTCTGACCAGCAAGCGGGGCTCTGGGCAGAAGCAGGCAGGTCATTTCAGTCCTACCGAAGCCTCTGAGGCCAGTGGCCTGCTTTTTAGGAGGGTGGATTGCTGGGGACAGGGAATGGAGGGCAGGTGGTGTGCCCCCTGCAACGAGAGCCACACTATTTGCCTCTTGGCACAGTGTTTCTTTTTAAAAGAAAGAAACTGAAAAAGCCCCAACTTTGTTTTACCTGCAAAGCCTCCTCTCATTCTAAAAGAACTCCACCCTGTGACTGTCCACACCCAGGGGCACGCACAGGTGTACTGGATACAAGCAGGCTGCCCTGTGGGTCCCAGGACCTGGCTAACCTGCTGTCCTGCCCTGCCCTGTCTTCTGGGTGGCCCGCTGAGGGGACCTGAGACACAACCCCTGTCCCACCAGCATGGGTGCTGCCTGAAGTAACTCAGGAGCCACTGGAGGAGGGAGCAGGGAGAAAGGGAGAGAGGTCTTCTGCAGGGTCCCAGGGGGCTGGTGTGGGGGGATCTGGTGTACAGAGAGAGGGCACCATGGGCTGCAGATGCTCCCATCTCAGTGAGGGCTGGGGACCCCAGGCAGAGGAAGGGGGTAAGGAGCTGCCGGCTCCTCTTCCTGGCCCCACACTTGCTGCCTTGGGCAGCACATGGCCCAGCGCTCAGTGGCGGGTCACAGTGCAGCAGTTATGGACTGGGAGCCCCCAGGGAGTGGAAGGACGGGGCAAGTGTCTGTGACTGGCTGGAGTTCACTGGATGGGGTTCAGGCAGCCCCTCAAAGTGCTCATTGTACAGATGAGGCAAGAGAGCTCTGGAGTGGTTGGGGACATAACAGAGTGTATCCCCCACACCAGCTGCACCAGAGGATCATACAAAGGACATGCGTGACCCTGCCTCCCAGTGGGATGGTGCCGCTCCGCTCAGCAGGGCAGACCTGGTAGTCATGACCCATTACAGGGTCTGAAATACGGCAGGCAACTGTGGTCCGCAGCTCTTGTTCTGTAGTGGAGATGCTGCCAAATGCAGGGAGTCCAGCTCTGGGGAAGTCGGCCACCAGCCTGAAGCCCTCCGGACTCAACCTGCACCCCACCCTCACCTCCTGCTCAGGGCCACTGGACAAGGCTAGGGACAGTCAAGGGTCCAGGGCACTAGAAACCCACAGGCAGGGACCACAGCCATTCTGACATTAGCAGTGACAGGGTCTCTGGTTCCTTGTCTCACAAACCCATAGGTAGCGAGGCCAGGCCGGGCCTCTCAGTATTGCTGTGGTTGGAGACAGCCACTCCCACAGTGGTGTGGTTAGCAGGAAAACCCCAGGGCCCTTTAACTGCTGCCAGTAGTGGAGCAGGCTGGCAGCCAGCCAGGTCCTGGCAGCCACAGGGGACAGGAGGGAGAGGGGGCTCTTCTGCCATGGCTTAGGGGTCCTGGGGAGCTGCTGCTGAGACTGCCTCACATGACTCCCTTTCCACCTGGGTCCTGCAGACACCCTGCTGCCAAAGCCAAGGGAAGCATGCTGGTCTCCTGCACGCCCTTCTGCTGGGAGCTGCAGAGGCCAGCAGCCCAAGACCCTTGAAGGATGAGAGCCCACCCAAGACACCAAGCCCACTGCCCCGTGCTCTGCTTGGAACTGGGTGACATCTGGATCCGGGACAGGGATATATTCTCAGCACACGTCACCTGTTTGATTTAAAGGTACTCAGACACTATCCTCCCACACAGCCTATGCTACTCCCTGGCAGCTGTCCCCTCAACACGCACTTCTTCAGGCCAGTGGGATTGCCCAGCATGTGGTGTAGGTGCCAGCCTGGGCCCCGAAGAGCTTGGTTCAAAGCCCAGCTGTGCTCTGTCCCAAAGGTCACCATGAACTTCAAACTTGAGATGCCTGCTCTGCAAAATGAGAGTAACCATAGTCCAGGCCAGGAGTGCACAAAGTGATCCCCCAACTCATGCCCTAAAGTCACCTCTGCAGCATGTGTGAATCAAATCAGAGATGACATGCAGGACCAGCATATGCCAACCCCTCATCATGATGTGTCTTCTTGTGGGGACATCACCCATCTCTCTGCCACCCAGGCCAAAGCCTGCCTGGTCATTCCTGACCTGTCCTGGGAACCTTTTAGCCCCACCTGTGACTGCTATCCTGCCTGCACTGGGATAGCTCTGTCCTCTGTGTCAGTGAAGAGCCAGGTCCTCAGGCTCTGACACCAGGAAGAACCGTCCCTATCCTTCTATCCTTACACCATTTCGGATCCTGAAGAGCCCGCCCCAACTGTCATGACCTCCATTCCCTGTGTTCACAGATGCACCTTGGGTTTGGATGGACCTTCAGCTGTTCATCAGCTGGGCTGATCAGAGCCTCAGTTTCCCCCCACAAGGAGGATGAAAGTCTAGAAGGAGCCAATGAGTCAACACTCAGAAGCACCCCCTTGACAGGCCTTGGAACTTTGTCACAGGGGAGCTGTGGTCCTTAGCACACACACCATGGATTCTTCTGCGCTGTCATCCAGAAGCAAATGTCCCTGTCTCCAAGGGACCTGAGCTCATGCAGGTACTGATCTTGCCTTGTGATTCACCCCCAAATTCCCCCACAGACAAAGTGGAATGGTACAGACCCAAGGTATAGATTGAGCACATCACAGGACAAGTGAGTGACCGTGACCAAGGACCACTGTAGGACTTCCAGGAGAGGAAGACTGGGATGGCCCTCAGGTCTTAGTGGAAGCCAGATGGCAGGTTTTATGAAGCACAGAGGAGTGCCCACTGCATGCGGCAGGCTAGGCCCAGGAAGCCAGAGAGGAGAGAGGATGCGGCCCAGGTCCTCAGCACATGCCTGGACTTTTGCACAAGTCCTTGAGCCAGAGGCCACCCTGTAGCTGGGGACTCTCCAGATGTGGTCCAAACTCTGTGTCACTGGGCCACATCAGCGGCACCTGCCACCCCACATGCTGTCCCGGGGAGCCTCACTCACTCCTCTTCTGGGGCCCTTCTTCCCCACCTATGAATGACCCCGTGTCTGAAGCAGTCACAGCGAACATCTGGGAAACAAAAATCATGGCAACTCTTCTGTGAATCACGTGATACAACATCTACCTGCAGCTGTGGGCTGAACAAAAGCATGAGCCAGCAGTGCCTTCTTCAAATGTTTCTGAGTAGGGTGGGGGACTCTAACAAACACACCTGCCTGTGTCAACTTCTGGAGCTGTGGAAAGGGAAGGGGTGGGCACCCAGTAATGCTCGGTATAGCTGCACAGCTTGTATGCAGTGTAGCTACAGAGAACATGACCCACAGCTAGGCCACTGTACTTTATCATGGTCCTGTGGGCACAGATGGACAGAAAGCATCTTGAGGGAAGGGCAGATCCTTTTTCCTAGTCACAGTAATATGGGAAAGAGGCCATCAGCCACCATGGAGAACAAAGAGGTGTCCACACAGGAGACACACCCTACCTTGCCGACAGCTACACATGGAAAGTCCCTTGGGAGCCACAGATAGAGCCCACTAGCAGTGTCCACCCTCCATCCAACAGTCCCACTTCCTGCCCCTGGAAAGAGCTGACTGAATACACCCAGAGCAACTAGCAACCTGGAGTCGGACAGCTGACTTTTGGGGACTCAGGGTTGCCCTTGCAGTGGCCCTGGAGTCCACACCCCTGTGGCATGCCTGGAGGTGCTCCTGGTGTCCCCCTGGTTGTCCTGTAAGGGGGCCAGTCTGGCCCTCATGGGGAAGATGCTGAGCAGTGTGGGTTGAACAGTGGCCAGGTCCTCAGCCCTGCTCTCTGTGACTGCAACCTTGCTGAGCAGGACATGGTATCTGTAGGGTAGTTAAGGATCTTCAGAGGAGAGATCACCCTGCATTTAGGGAGGACCCTGTAATCATCTGTGACTTGTCCTGATAAGGCAGAGGCAGAGGGAGGTTGAGACAGAGAGGGAAGTGACATGACCACAAGTCGGGATCACCTAGCTCCACAGGCGCTGGCCCAACACTCAGGAGGCAGAGAACGTCCCCCCGCCCTGCTGTCCCCGAGAGGGAGGGGCCTGGTCTCCCTCTGACCTCAGACTTCCGGCTGTGGGCTGTGAAAGGGCTGGCTTAACTGTTGCAAAGTCCCATTTGTGATTTGTCACAGGAGCCAGAGAAACTCATACCCAGGCTGGGTGGGGAGAGAAACACACAGAACAAATTAAAAGGACGCAGTGTTAGAGGACCATAGCCTGGGAGGCTTTCCGGGGGTGGGGGTGGGGGTGCAGGTATCCCTAGGAGTACGTGGACTGGGGACTGGGGTGGGACAAGGGAAGGATGGCAGTGCAGCCAACAGGGAGCAGCCACGATGTGCAGAGGTGGTGGGCTGACCGCACAGCCACCTGCACACCAGGGAGGACCATGGGGACCTGGCTGGGCAGCGAGATATGTACATGCAGGCATCAGCACACCCGTGATGGCTCTGTCTGGTTCCTGGGAAGACAGAGGATAAGAAGACAGCCAGCTCACGGGGCCAAAGAGGACACAAAGGCAATTGTCCCACTTCCTCTCTAGACATTTCCCACTGAGGTCTGAGCCCTGGGTCACGGCCCGGGGCTGACTTGCTAGGAAGCTGGCCCAACACTCATGCTTCCATCTAAAGGACTCAAGGTGGCCCCTTCCCCTGGACCACAACTCTGCAGCTGCTGCTGGGGGCCCACTCATGTTCCCAACAGGCTGCATTTGCTCTCAAGGGGTAAGAATGGCCTGTAGGTGAGGCAGGCTATATCTATGGCTTAGAAAACAGAATCCACCAGCTCTAAAATCTAAAGAACAATAACACAAGGCAGCATCTGAAGAAGTGTCTATGGGGTTCTGCACAGGGCGGCACCACCCTTGTTAAGCTGAGTCTCTGTAAATATTATTCCAATCGCGTGTGAAAATCACTTGTAAGTCCCGGATCTCCCACTGGAAGATTCCTTCAACAGATCAATGGCTGCTCAGACACAACGGCTGCCGTAAACTGCTCGCAGGCAGGGTTCAAAGGCGAAGGCATCCAAACCATGTCTGGAGGTTTTTTTTTAATGGCAAAGAGGTATGTTCATTACGGCCCACATGGATATGGCCTGGCTATTGCCCAGCTATGTTGAATACTACCTGATCTGGACTGATGCTGCTAGAAGTCAGGGTGCAAGTCCCACAGAGACAGGGCCATGATAACTGGGGAGAGCCAGGGAGGACTCCCTGTGTGTGGTGCATTTGTAGTTCCTGAAAGTACCGCCCCTGAGCAGGTGGTGAGACCCACGTCCCTCAGGGCAGGGAGCAGAAGCCGGGGAACAGCTCCCTAAATCACTCTCCTGAAACCACCTCTCAGTGGCAGGAACTAGAGCACTATTAGAAAGAGGAGTCCCCAGGGAGCTGCGGTAGCAGGGATGTCCTAGAAACTTTCGGGCTCTGCCAATCAGGAAGATGAGGCTGAGCAGAGAGCTGTCAACTCTCCGGCAGGGGGTTGGGGTGCCGGGGTGGGGGATCAACAAGTGCCCAGCTTGGCAGAGATGTGCCAGCTTGGGCCCTTTGGCTGCCATGTGCGGGCGGCTGGCCCAGCTCACTGTGGCAGAGGCAGCTGCCAGGTGGCACAGAGGGCTGCTCCATGGGTGGGGAGGGTGGCCTTGTCCTTGGAAGGCCTGGCAGGCTGCTGGTGGACAGGAGGGGTTCCCCAGTCATGTGTCACCTTGGCCACACACGCTGCTGCTCCAGCAGCCTGCTTCCTGCTTCCTGGTGGGACATTACTTGGTTTTGTCCCCATCCTCTGTCATGACACACAGGGAAATTAAACCCCACACCTGGCCCATCATGCTCAGAGTGCTGCCCCAGCGAGGCTGCTCCTGGCAGTGTATGTTGTCTGTCCACCTGTGGGAGGTCACAAATGTGGGCTGGCCACTCATGGGCGAAGCTGCTGTTGGCTGCCGGGAACCACCCTTGCTGGACAAACAAAAGAGGCGTCTTCCACACCAGAGGATGACGGGCTTGACCCACATGGCCCGCGTACGCCCACCCCGTGGAGATGTGCGCTTGAAGAAGCTGTTTCTCAAATCGGCAATTATGAAAACACCCCACCCAGTGGTTATTACGACCATTTTCCTCCTCATTGCTAACGTGATAAGCGATACGAGTTTTTCCTAATAGAAACAATAATGTGAGAAGAACTTGCTTCAAATTAAATTGTCTCATTACTCTGTAATAAATCACCCACAAGTGTTTCCTGAGCGCCACCAGATGGGTTACCTGCCAAGAGAGAGTGGCGGAGGAGACAAACGCAGACCTGACATGCACGCCTTGCAGGAATCGAGGAGATGGGGCCGCCCGCAGAGACCAGGGTGGGCGTGGGCTTGGAGGGAATTGGCCACTTTGGCCCCTGCAGGCCCAGGGGTGGGTCTCACTTTCCCAAACCAGTCTGTGACCCTGGCCGAGTCACAGAACCTTGCTTGGGATCAACACTCTCACCTGCAGATGAGGAGCCGGGGCGGCCCTGACCCAGCCCCTGGACCCAGCCTGAGGACAGCATATGTGAGAGGCCCTGGCCCAGGATCTGGCCCCAGGAAAGCACCCCTTCACTGCACACCGTACACTGTGAACCCGGCTCCCTGGGGGATGTGGGATGTGGATGTGTGACTGGGAGCATCCCAGGTGCCCTTCCTTACAAGGCGACATCTGGCATGCATATTTTGTGCAGCAGGACACCCGTGTGGGTCACATTGCAAGAACGAGGCGATCCCTATGTTGTGTGGCAGAAGGGAGCAGAAGCGAGGCGGAGAGAGGCTGGGAGGGAGCGGGGCCTGGAGGCCTCATAGCTTCCCCAGCTTGAGGGCTGGAGATCCTGCCTGGGTGCCCTCCGAGGAGCCACTGCTGGAGTGAGCAACAGCTGGAAGGTGTCACAGAGGGGCGGAGAGCTCAGCTCTGCAGGGCAAAGGTCTGTGCTCATGGAAGCAGGACACAGACCACCCAGGTGTGCCCCTACTGTGGAACTGGTGCCAAGGTGCATCCTCCTCCCCACAGCCACGGGGGCCACTAGCAGCAGTGCCTGGACAGAGCTGGCATTCTCGCCATCACTGCCCCAACATCTTTCACCTGGGGACCACAAAGCCTGCGATGAGTCTTCCCTGAATTCATGCTATCATTTCAAACTTTAAATCAGATTGGATCTCCCCTGATTAAAATAGTACAACAAATTCTCCCCTAAATTTGGAACACCCCCCATGCTAATACCCTCTGTGATGTGACCCAGTCCCCCTCTCCTCTAGTCTATTTCCTTTTTCTCTGCCAAACCATGCTCACTTCCACCACAGTGCCTTTGCACAGCCTGTGTTCCTACATATACTGCTGCAGGTATCCACAAGAAATGCCACCATTACCAAGCAGGTGAGTTTAGCTCTCTTCTGGGCCCTGGATTCTTCACTTCTCCTCTCTGCTTTACTTTTTTATCCTTAGCTCCTGTGACTGTCTGAAACTATGACTTGTTTGCTTATTCAGTTGCTCCCTGACTCTCCAGGTCTGGGCCTGCCCACCATGCATGCCGTCACTACTGCTTCTGAAGCAAGGATGCTTGGGAAGATGAAGCCCCTCCCTCCCTATCTCCTCCAGCCACGGCCAGGACCTTCCTGCCTTGGGCATGGGCTAATGCTTCTTTATGCTGGGGACTCAGTGAGCAGCACTGAAGCCCAGTGGGCTGTGAATCCCTGGGTCCCACAGCACCCAGGTCCTATGTAAGACCACTGTCCCTATAGCATCTAACCTGGTGGCCCCAATACCTTCAAGCCGGCTGCTCAGTCAGTTCCCCAGGGGCAGGGTGGACCCTGGAACCTTAGCCTGACTTGGAACAGAGTGTGCTTTGTAAAGGACAACATCCAGGCACATCTGGCCTGGTGTTTTGCTGTGCAAGAAGGAGCTAGTGGTGCCTCTTCCTTCATGTGTTAATTAAAACAACAGGCCAGACCTGCCCCATCTGTCCACCTCAAGGCACGCCCCAAAAGACCACACTGGAGAGGCCACACACAGACTTCCTGGCCCTCTCTGTAAGCCTGGTCCTGTCTTCTCTGGTGTGAACCTCGGGGCCCAGGCTCTGGAGAGAAGGTGGTTCCCGGGGCCGGGAGCTCACTGACCCTGCAGCCCCCAGGCCTCCCCACCCGGATGGCATGAGCTCTAAAGTCAGAGGCTGAGAGAAGCCTGGCCAGGCCTGAGTCAGACAGAAGTGGGCTGTGATTCCCATCCGCCCCCTACTATTGGCCTCTCTCTACTCACAAGGGCCACAGAGGATGGTCACACGCCTCCCAACAGAGGATATGCTCTGAGATGCCATTTGGCAAGTTTGTCATGGTGCAGACATCAGAGAGGGTGCCCTCCCACACACAGGCACCTGATACAGCTGGTGGCCCCTGGCTCACACCCACTCAGTGCGTCACTGTCCTGCACACAGCGGGCCACTATACCTGTGCATCCGAACAGCTCTGACTATAGAATAGGTAGAGTAAGGATCCCAGGGAAAAGGAAATTTCCGACTGCATTATAATCCTTCAGGGCCACTGTCTCAGATGTGGTCTGTTGTTGGTGGAAATGCTATTTTTTCAGCATGTGAGTGTTTTGCTTCATTCCTAAGCGTTGATGCTTAGATAAAAGTTCAGCATTGCCAAAGCGATAATTCTAAAAGCAGGTGAAAGAGACACCCTAGCTGAGCACTTGCATTAAGTTGTTTAAAAGGCCTCTGAACATCTTCTAGCCCAGCAGCTGGGAAATTTTTTCTGCACAGACCCACAGAGTAAACGGCTGGGCTTTGCTGGCAGATCCTGCATCCGGATACAACTTTCCATTCTGCTAATAGGGACACAGAGGCAGCCATGACAGTGTATAGGGGGCGGGGGCTGTGTGCCAATAAAACTTTATTGACAGAAACAGGCCGTGGGCCTGATTTGGACCATGGGTTGCAGTTTCTAAAGCCATGCCCTAAATGTCCTAAAGATACTTGAAAGGACATAAATAACACGTTTGTATATAACAGAAGCTAAGAAAAGTCTTAATTCTCTGGCAGAAGCCATGCTGACATTACTGAGTACAGGTGCGCCTGGCTTAATATAATACCATGCTTCAGAACAGATGGGGTACACGTTATAGAAATGAGGTCACCTGGGAGATGCCCTAGAGAGACTCCAGAGGATTAGATGAAAAGCCCTTTATGAAAAATAAAGAAAGTGCCCCTAACTATTCTGGGTTTTTATGCCAGGTTGGCTCAGACTTGGGGTACACCTGAATGCTGGCTTCATAAGCAGTAATTATTAAGTAGTAATTAATAATCAGAGCAATTCTCATAATTAGCATGTTTATGAGCTTGGAGTGCTTTCAGTGTAACTGGGCCTGTGTAACATCCATAAGGGCGGCGACATGTACCAACCAGGGAGGGAGCTTCTCACAGAGAGGGTGAGGATTCACAGAGGTGCACAGAGCTGGAGGCAGAGCCAGGGGGTCAGGGCTGGAGGCAGCATCCTGGGATAGCCTGAGGCTGATCAGCTAGGTGGGGGCGGCTGCCCCACCATACAGTGACCAGAGGGGAGTCCCCGGGGAGGGCTGATTCCAGCAGACATGCTAAATACTGCTGGCTCGTGCAGAAGGATTCTGAACTGGAAGTGCTGGACCCACCACCATGGGCTGCTAACACAAGGAAGAAAAGCCCTGGGCAGAGAAGTTTCCAGCCCCTAAAAGTTCATGCAGGATCGTATAAGTGTGTGCTTGTGGAGTAACGGATTTAGTTACCAATCTGTTGGACATGCTCTCTACTTGCTATCTCCAGATGATGAGCTCCTATTCACTTCTCAAAGCCCAACCAATAGCCACAATTTGTAGCAGTTGGTTGCTGTCATTTAAGCGATGCTGAGTGCATAGACAGACCCAGCTGAGCCTTGCCCCTCCTCTGTTCCCAGCTCCTGGTGTGAACCCTGAACCTTCCCTGGCCTGCCTCCCACTGCAGAGGCTGGCAAAGCCAGACACTTGCTTTCCTGATTCTGTTTGCAGTTAGAGATGACGTGGACACTGGGCAGGGTTTTGCCAATGAGACCAGGGAGCAATTCTTCCAGGAGAAGAGACAGCCTGGAGGAGGGCTTCTTGGAATTCCCCTCTGTTTCCATGTAGGATTTGCTATAGTGACATGATAGCTGCCATCTTGTGACCAGAGAGAAAGTCTTCAAGGCTGGCAGAGATGTCACTAAGGCACGGGAAAATGCTGGATTCACAAATCAGGATGCCAAGACTTTCTGATACACCAAGATGCCTCTGAGTTCCATCATGGGCTGAGCCAGACGGATCCAGGCCCCTGTTCCTCTAGTAACTGTGATCACCTGCCATGTGAACTCATGAATCCTGGTGACACAGACTGAGGTTTTACACCATACCCAGCTGACCTCAGAAGATCTAATTACAGACTGCCATCCCAGTGGACCAGCAATTCAGAAAGCCGAGAGCTATGAGAAAGAAGTTTTCTTGGACTCAGCTGCTCTCAAATTTTTGCTCATCACATGGACTCCCTGGGTCCCTGGCTAATGGAGGGCAATAACCTATGTATTACATGGTTCGATACAAAAAGTCTCACCCGAGCTGGGAAATCTCTAAAAAGCCAGTGGAAGTAAAAAATGATAGATTTTGGCACAAATGTTCAGGCTAGAAGGGAACACGGGCACCCAGGCTGGTGGTGTGGATGGCTGCAGGCTCTGTGCCTGTTACCACAACCCTGGCTCCATGGCTGCTCATGGTACGCACGGCTGTGAGCCATTTGTGCAAAGTGTCCCAGCTCACTGCATCCAGCCTGTGGCCAATCTGTGCCTAGCAGTCAGTCTTCCTGCTCTGAGACTTTTCAGGGCCTGGGAGTATGCCCTACTCCAGAAAAGCCTTTTCCTGCCACCTGCTACCCTCCCTGAGGCTGGATCCTTGGCAACAGGGATTTAAGCGTCTCCCCTGGGGTAAACTGAGTCTGGCTCTCTCTGGACTACCTCGCCCTTTGCCATCCACCCAAGAAAGGCCAGTGTTTCTATACCCACAAGGCTCTCATAGGAGTGGGCATCTATAGAAATCCTGGTCAGACATGGCCTCTCGTTACTGGGAAGCCAGGGTACCCCCATTTGCCTGTTGAAGCAGGCTTACTGCTTACTCATTCTTTCGATGTTTGCAAGTCCCTCTTAAGGAAGATGTTTTTCAATGAGATATGTGTCCCCCAGCACACAGGAGGCTCCAGTCACCTGTTCTGTTCTCTTGCTGCCACCACTACTACCTTCTGTGGGGTGGAGACAGAGCTGTGAGTTCAGGGTACATGCACGCTCATCCCATCAAGCAGTTTGTACCCCTCGATGGGTCTGTCCCATCCACCTGATGAGACAGTCATGTGTGTAACTGCTGGTTTAGTTTCCCAGCAGGGAGACATGAATTACGGCCCCATAGTGAATGTGTTACTCTTCCAAGATAGAAGTTGACTGACCTGCTAGGCTTCAAACTTGCCAATTTTCTCAGGCTCTGGCCCCAGCCAGGTTTTCACCTTCGTTTTTTATTTTTTTTTTTCCTGCTCTCTGTGAGAGGGAAGAGCTCTACTGCTAAGCTGTATCCCCAGCTCTCTTTATTTTGAGACAGAATCCTGCTAAGTTACCCAGGTTAGGCTCCAATTTGTGATCTTCCTGCCTCAGCCTTTAGAGTGGCTAGGATAACAGGTGTGCCCCGCTGTGCCTGGATGTTGTTATTTATCAAAGCCAGAGTCTAAACCCCTAGCTGGCCAGCATGGCCCTGCATCTGGTCTTTCTCTCCTCTCACAATGACTGTTCAATTGCAGTCTGCCCTCAACAGCTATTTTTCTAACTATAATCTTTGTTTGCACGCCCTGTCTACAAGCTGGGGTTGATGGGTATTTATTTTCCTTTCTTCCTTCCCGTCTTCAAAGAGATGAGTCATCTGACTGCTCCATTCTCCATTTTTCCCACTCTACCCCAAAATTCACTCATTAATCTGGGCATCTGAGGATGTCTGAGCTTATTGAAAACAGATTTCAACAGAAATATACATGCTTCTTCCTGGGCCAGGGGCAGAGACTGGAACTGTCCTGATGCTTTATGTGCTCAAGGGTGGCCCTGATTTGGGTGCCATCAGATCCAGCTTTCCCTTGCCCCAGCCCTGCCACCAGCTGCTCCCTGGCTAATACCTCTGT